ATCAGGTTGTGATTGGTACGCCAACCATTGGATCCGTGATTAGCTACATGAATGTCATTTTATGTGTTTGCATCACCAAATATCCGATAGATAAGAAAACATGCCACGTCTTAAATGCACAATCCCAGGGGTTGGTCAAATGTTTTATTGATGCCATGTGAGCAGTGGGGGTGATTCCCCCTCTTTAGTGTGGAAGTAAAAACAAAAAAAGCTTGTACGGTATAAGTTACCCGCCAGAACTGACGCCGAGAGTTGGTGCCACCATGTCGTGTATGGAGCCCCTCTTCTCGTTGTGCGAAGACGAAGACAACGTAGAGATGTCACCCATCGCCACGGTACCCCCTTTACGATTTACTTGAACACAAATTATCATAGCTTCTATCATTTCTTTTTAACATTTGCTATTTTATCTCAACATTTAATCTTTTATTAATTAGTTTTCGCCTGACCAATTCCTAATGGATTTCTCTACCGTCATCCCCGTGCTGTGTAACGGGCAACCCGTGGATTTCGTCCAAGAAGCCACAACCAGCAGTACGCTATCCCCCGCCAGCGATAGTTCGGATGACTTCGAGATGCCGACCGACGTCCTGGACGCTGCCGAGACACTCCAGCGATGCGAGCCACTGACTGCCTTCGTTGACAAAGGGCCCGGAGTAACCACAGACCCTACAATAGATGAAGAGATCCATAGAGAAACATTTTCAAGTCTTGTAAAGGACGAACTTAGACAGAAAATAACCGAGAAGCGAAGATCACGCGGGTTGCCAGAGTTTTTGACAGAATATAGACCGACCGTGAAAGAAGAGGTAAGCATGTTTAAAGGGCGGCAGTCGTCGTGCCGCGTCCTGTTAGATATGGGACTCATAGCGACGTATACAACGCGTGTAAAATACATTGTTTGTTTACATGAAATTCGAACACGCGCTGCGCGATGACCACCGCCCTTTAAACTAATTATGAGCACGGTTACTAAAAAAGTAGTAACCGTGTTATGAGCATTGCATTTTACGGTATATTGCACCGATACATTGCACCGCTGAATGCGTGCATTTCACCACAGGCAAAAGGGTGACATCGACCACAGTAAATGGTGACATATTAAAATCTACATTGAATTTTGTTCTCGGTCAAGTTTATGCGAAGAATATTTGGATAATATCCATATCGAGCATCGCCGCACTATCTAAAGACCATTATGCATCAGTGGGCGTTAGTTTCGATAGGAATGTAGGGCGGGTTTGGAGTGTCCTCGTACGGCATGCACTGTGGTGTTTACATTTCCTGGAGTTCAGTCACATGATCGATCGATTATTTGCCTCGCTGATTAATCTTTTATTATATCAAAGATATTGCCTTAGTAGCAATCGTCTTAGTAAAAACTTTTAGAAATTACTGGAGTCATGGTGAAGTGCGTGATTTTAGAGAATATTGAAGGAATTTTAAATCAGTCGTACAAACTGAAATATTTAATGATATGTGTGTTTGTTTAAGTTGCTGTTGCTATGTGACGGGTCAAACCCTTGAAGAGGTCATGGGTCTATGGGCGGGTAAATAACAACAAAACAATCTAAATCTACTTGGCATCAGTATCGTATTGGCGAATAGCCAAGAAACGCCACCAACGACATCGGACTACCACGGAATCTCAGTTATAATAACAAGTAGACGTAGAATCATATTAATCGATTACATTGACCCTTCGCGTGGTGCGAAATTCTTCGTGATAATGAATTGTCCTCCTCCCACGTATTGATCAGATGTTCTACCACATATAAGTGGAGGGGGCGTTTTCCATTACCGAACAATGCCACCGACAAGGGACATACTGCATATTCGGTACCAGATACTAGTACACACGTTTGTTTTGTATTGTAGTTAACAGAAGAAGAAAAAGAGAAGCGAAGAATCAGACGAGAACGAAACAGAAAAGCAGCCACGAAATGCCGCCAAAAAAAGAGAGAAATGGCCCAGAAAATTAAAACTGTAAGTTTGTCATTTTCTTTTTCTTAGCTGCAAATTTATTAGTGGTCTGAGAATTACCAAACGTGAACAGTGAGGTCTAGTGTAGAGAATTCACCCCTCTAGCCAGTTGAGTAGAATGCTACGAGTTTTTTTTTTTTTTTTACACGTGCGCATATAATTGTAATTAACACATTCAAGATAAACACCTTTAAAACCATGTGGCATACTAGAACAGTAAACTGAACTGAACCTCCGGTGATTTGTTTTGTAGGATGCTGGCGAACAAGAACGACGAAACAGTGAACTAAAACAAGAAATTGAGATTCTGCAAAGACAAAGACAAGTGCTGACGAATATTCTTATGCATCATCAAGAATCTGACACTACGTGTTATCTTAGACCCAAATTCAACCAGAATACATTGCCATCACCCATCGCCGCGGGGAGTAGCATGCAGAGATGGTCGCGCCCTAGTACGTAACGCGAGACAATGACTTTGCAACCTTTGAGACTGAAACATCGATTTCAAAGTGTACAATACAGTACAGTTACTCTACGGTGTACTAGTTCAAGGTCGGGCTTCACATGACACTGCGCTGCCTCGAAAATATACATATTACCAGTACATATCATACGAATAACGACGTACTCCCTCGCAATGTTTTGCCTGTTTTTGTACCAGCAGATTATATGCCAGATGACTGGTCGGCGGCCATCTTGTGGGTTTTAGGTGCCCGTTGTTTTTCTTTTTACAGTCAAATGCATTTATGCGTTTATTTTTTAAAATTATCAAAGAAAGTTTGTGTTATATATGTCAACTTATTTTAATTGAATTTTCATATTAATATATTTGTATACACCGATTTACACTTCAAACCACATTCGAAACACCAAGTTTCACAAAATGCGGGAATTTACGGATCATGACTGTAAACAGTCAGGAATGCGTATTGTGTGCGCTGTCCAACTCTGTATCAACATTCAGCGATATTTCAGAGCTGGAATGAAACACACGTGCCCACAAGTTCGATTAATAACACGTATGACATGTGTACATTACCGCAGTTGGGAACTTGAGGCATATACAATTACAGCGATTCATTATTAAACACGGTTAAAGGGCGG